GCGGCGCTGTAGCTCGGGCGTTGGCGCCGGCGGCGGTGCACCAAGGTCGGCTTCGGATCCGATGGCGGCTCGTCTTCGCAGGCGGCGCAGCTCCGGGTGGCATGGTGGCGGTGGCGTGGCTGCTTGGCTGCGGGGCGGCGCGGTGGCTGGCGGCGGCGCCCTTCCGGCCCAGATCTGGTCCCTTTTGGGCCCCATCTGGGTCTGGGTGGGCCTGGCGTGTGCTTTCCAGCGTCATCTCCGGCGGACGAAGGTGTGGCTTGGGCTGGGGGTGGCGGAGACGGTGGCGCGTGTACTGCAGCGCAGCGACGGGAGCTTCACGAGCCCGCTTCGGGCTCGGCCGGGCATGGGTGCCTGGTTTGCTCCTGAGCTACGTCCGGTCGGTCACCGCCGAGGGTGGTGGAGGTTGTCCCCTCCCACGTGGCCGCTGGCCCTGCTGCTCCTCATTTTCGGCTGGTTCCTCTCGATTCCGCCGGTCTCGCTTCGCTTGTCACGGTGAGACGGCGATGGTGACTGCGTGTCCGTGGTGGCGCATATTGGTGGACGGCAAGTATGGTGGAGCGCGATGGATCGTCTGGGGTCGTGGTTGGTAGGAGATTGGGAGAAATCCTTGTCGGCTTGTTCGGCACTGACGCGGTGACGCCCGTGGGCGTCGCCGTGCCTTCCTGAAGGGCGTCGGATATCCCCCTTCCTCCCACGACCCTTCGCGTACCGGGGGAAACCCTAGGCCATGTCCGGTAGCAGCGTCGTTGTCGTCGCGTTCCTTCTTGAAGGTGTTACTTGGTATGCGGCGTTTCGTGGTGCTAGGAGCGTGGTGGAACTCTTCGGCGGGCGCAGCGGTGGCGAGTCATCTTCGTTTTTGTTGATCCGCCGTTGTCGGCATTTTTTTCCTTTTATGTTTTCTCTTTTTTTCTTTTGGGCGTGCCTGTGCTGCTTCCGCCCCAGCACCTATCGTGGGTTGTATCGATGTTGTTGCTTTGCAATACAAAGCGGGGGGAAATCCCTTTTTCGGTAGATATATCTGGCTCCATCTTTCCATTCATTAATAATTAACTCAGTGCTCTAATCAGCTTAGTTTCTTGTTTCTTCATCATCGTCCCAGTACTAGTCTGCTGCCAGTAATTAATGTATATAATTAACAAATTATCTAACTGGCAATTTATATGCTGCATTGTAGGTAATCCACCCTTCATTCAGTTGATCTTCAGCTTGCTTCGGCGCTAGATGCATGTCAGGCTACAAAGTTGAAGATTTCTCTGTGATATATGGTTGCGTGTATTTTTCCTACCCAAAATCATGTTGCTTGATTGGTTTTTTTGTGCTCTGCATCCGCATTGCCATGGTGTGGCTCTGCGCCCGTCTCAATCCACATTGTCGGCGTGCTGTTGCATCTTCCAGTTTGGTTGGTTTGGATTGGTTCGGTCCACTTTGCTGGATCAACCCATATTTGCATGCATCAAAGCAAGTATATGTCATCTGGTTGGATGGATGATGGTACAAGCTCTGAGCAAGAGAGAAATAAATAAGAGTGGCATCCAGCTTATGCAGCATAAGCCGTGGCGTGCTAATGTTGATGCTATGATCTCTGTGTGCGTGGGGTGTGTGGTTTGTCACCTATGGACTGCTTGCTGTAAGAATTTGATTGCATGTGTGATTTTGCAGCAATTATTGATTGTTATAAAAAAAAATTAAAGATTTCATATCTGGCAAGCTTCTAGTTATTACTTCTGAAGCATCTCATGATTGAATGTGATACAACCGTCAAACTTCCAAACGAGATTGGAAGTCTCCGACACTTGGAGACACTGGAAGTACATGCAAGATTATTTGCTGTTCCATTTGGTATTTGTCAATTTAGAGAGGTTACTGCACCTCCGCCTTTCTAGGGAGTCTATTCTGCCCCACGGAGTTGCCCCCCATGACATCTCTTTGCACTCTGGGGTATCTTGATCCCAGTCGTTGCTCACAAGGCATTTGAACAAGTTCCTCTGCACAAGGTGGCTTGAGACCGGGTGGAGGGAATAAGCGGAGGAACAGGGATAAAACGGCATCGCACACAAGAAAGCCCACCAAAGCAAAGGCGACGACACTCCAGCAGGAGCTCGAGCCCTCCCGTTTCCCAGCAGGACTAAGCTTTTGGTACGCTTCTTTCTTCATTTGTGCAGACATTTACCAGTCCTGCTCAAGTTTCTATGCCTTTTGTTATGATCCTCCTATGGATAGAAGATAGCCACTCTGTTTTTCCTTGTCATAGCTAGGGTTCATCCATCACCATCTTTTTTTTTCCCTTGAGAAATCTCCCTGCTTGCTAGGAAAGTAAATAGTTGAAAATAAGAACCGAGTCCAGTGCTTATTTTCATCCCTTGTGCAGGCGTTGAGCACCTCATCACACCTTTTAGTGTCGGGTGACCCCCGACAGCGGCTACATCGAGACGATGCACCAAACGGTAAACTGTGTGGACGATGAAGGAACATATATATGAGCAGTCCCAACCTTGATACCATCACGACAGATCAGCTATCTAAAGATTACAGAGTCCACACACGTATGCATACCATGTGTACGTTCTGTGATGTATTACTAGGCTGCATTCATGGACCGAAGACGGACTTATTTATATATACATAGTAATGCTAGTGAACATCCATCTAGTAACCGTAATCCTTTAGTAGCCTAGTATTAAGTTTTGTGTGCTCTAACTCTGCATTGCCATGGGTATGGCTCTGCACCAGCATCGATCTACATCGTCAACGTGATGGTGCATCTTCCAGTTTGGTTTGGTATGGTTCGGTTCAGTGAGCTTTGCTGGATCGGCCTATATATGCATCACAGCGAGTATTTATCATCTGGTTGGATAGATGATGGTACAGGTTCTGAGCAAGAGAGAAGTATATTAAGAGCGGCGTTCAGCATACGCAGCATGAGCCCTGACGTGCTCATGTTGCCTCTATGCTCTCTCTATGTGTGTGGTGTTTGATTTGTCAAGCTATGGACTAATTGGTGTAGTAACTTGTTGTACGCTGACTTTCATATAAGTAATGGTGATGAAGATTGTGCGTTTGATTTTTGCAATAGTTGTGCATTCTTATAAATCCACTAATGAATGTTTCTTATCTGAATGTTGTAGCTCTATGCTTTATGCTTTGCTTTGTTCTGGGTTGGTTGATGACTGTTCTAAGCTTGTATCCAGATCATGCAAAGAGCTCTTCTTATTATTTTTTCTGGCTAGCTGAGCACCAACCAGTTAATGCCGTTCTGGGTGGATATAATCATCCAAGTTTGTATACTTGGACCCTACAGACTACAGACCGTGATATATTAGCGGGCTTTTTAATAACTGTATTTTAAGTTTTTCAGACAAGATTATCTAGAGGCATGGATACATACATATCATTCTCATATATGCATCTTTATTTGGTTATTTGGAGATGATCGTCGTGAGATTAAGTTAGCAAGGAAAACAGAGCTACAGTACAAGTTGAGTAGTACAGCATTAGCTATTTAGTGTCAAGTTGGCAAAGGGAAGCCATGTTTTTTGTATTTTTGGCCAGTATTACTGTTCGATGTTAATGCAAGTCGAAATGTAACTTCGGATGGGAATTTTTTTTTTTCAGTTTGAAAAGAAACAGCCCAACGTTAGCTAGGGTCTCAATGCACTCTGTTTTGGATACAAATTTAGAGAAGCAGAGCAATACCTATAGTGGAAACTCGAGGTGTACCAAAACTCCATGGCCTAAAACCTACGAGTCCCCTCCATATACAGAAAATAAAAGAGTGAACGCTGTTTATATCGAGGCACTGGTTAACACGCTCGAGGCACTGTGTTCCTGACAATTTTGAACAGCTCCTGCCAAGATTGGCTTGTACGTACAAGACTGGCCATGGAGCTCCCTCACGGTTGCTTCGTAGGCGTAGCATCTCGTGATCCACCTGTTTGACATGCTAGTATACGGCTGTTGATTGCTCTGCTTCCAGTGAACATGAATGGATTTCCTTGAGATCCGTGAGAAACCATAGCCCGTTCATCTCAAGGTATTTGTTAGTTTGTATCAGTTCGAGCTTCGGCATTGCGTCATCCTCATAAGGTCAAGATTGCTATCCCAGCGCCGGAGGCAAATCTCGAGTAGCACGAGCTCAGGAAAGATGAGCCTAGGGATTGCAGCTCATTCATTACAATTGCACTGTTCCCTCAGTCGTAAAACTTTGAGATTCAGTAGAATCCCGAGGGTTTGTAATAGCACGCTATTTCGCCATTATAACGCGGTTATAGCATATTTGGAAGGGAGACGTTACGTTTTGGTAAAATCGGACGCTACGGCGCTAATCACGTAATTAGCGCCCTACACACGCTAATAACGTTGTAACATCTCCCGACCCCCGCGTCGCCTAGGAGGCGACTCGGGGGAACCCTAGCCCGTCGCGCCGCCACCCCCTCTCCCCGGCTCCCCCTGCCGCGCCGCCGCCGGAGGAAACTGCCGGGCGAAGCCCGTGCGGCGGACGGCGGCGGCGGGGCTTCCCGTTCGCGCGCGCGGCGTCGTTCCCGACGGCGAGGGCTCCAGGTGGGGGAGGCTCGGCCTCCGGCGCTGCGGCCGCCGCGGCGCTCCCCGGCGGCCCTCTGCTCCGTCCGGCGGCGGCTGCGTCTGGCCAGGCGCGGGCAAGCCGGGGCGGCGGCCCCGGGATC